TTCATTTAGTCTTATGATGCATTATCCAGAGCTGATCCAATTGTCATATTTTTTATTGACCTAGTTTCCAACTTAAATTCATTAGGTAGTAAAAACCAAAAGAACAACATCACATTTTTTTTCTTGACAATAGATTATAATGTTAGTAATAGACCTGTTGGTTATGGACCAAACTGTAATAAATGTGACTGCGAGTTTCTAAGTAGTAAATACGTTTGCGTGTATTTAGTTTTATAAATTATTTATGTTCATTTCAAAAAGCACGTTACTATTTTTATCATAATTAATTTCTCGGCCGCTCTCCTCCTCTGATTAGGTGCAAAATTATGAATATCTTCTGAAGCACAGGTCCAAAAATCGTTATCGACATATATGATATTATTTATCATATCATACGAATTTTCTTAATTAGATCATTTAAATGGCTTGTATGATGCCATTAAAAAAAGTAAAGTTGATAGCCCTATAATAAATAAGGGACGAACATAAAAAATAATCCATAACAAATAAATGGATATTTATATGTAATTAATAAAACCAAAAAAAAATGTTTATTTTAAGAGAAATCGTGTGGCTCATGTTAAAAGAATAACCTTGTATTTTTATTAAAATTTAAAATACAAAATACCAAAAATAACAGGAAATAAAAATATAAATACTTTTTAGTCAATTTTAATATAGTTCAGTACTCGTCTCACAATAATTTAAGCAACTAATAAAAATATCCATTATACTTTAGAATATATTTTAAAATAGCTAAACACACGAACCGTATAGAACAAAGACCAAATTTTCGATAACGCACTTATCATGCACAGTGTCATTAGCAGTAAAACATTATAACCCACAAGAATTTTTGGATATTGTTTAAAGTTACTACCAGTGCTAAATTTTATCCAGCAGGCTCATACATCAATACATCATAGATTAAAAACACGTATATATTTAATTTATGAATATACCTGTGTGATAATTTGTAGACTTTAACTAAGTTTTACGGTTTCATCAGAAGTGTACAAATACTTTACAAGATTGCTAAGAAAATATTTCCATATTCTATATTATTTGATTAATTTTGTATATTAAGTTTTTTCTTTGATTAATTAACTGGTCATTGTTAAAATAATTAATTATTTTAGAAGTCATTAATATTTTTCATCATATCCAGGTGAGAGCAGTGCGACCGAGAAATGTCTAATAGTAAAAATAGTCATACGAGTGTTGCACCTTTAATATATATTTTAAAATTCTATTAAATTCCAAAAATTTGTATTGATCAGTCACATTTTTAATAAGGTCATTATATAATAAATAAGCTAGTAAAATATGTATGATCTTAATGTGACAATAAAGTTGTCACATTTATAAGGTATTAGCTATTGATAAAAAAAAATATGTCATGATTGATTAACTGAGAAATATATGTAATGAAAAGAAATGAAAATATAAATAAATATCATTTTTAATTTTTGATTAAATAAGTAGATCATAATAAAAAAAACACTTTTGTAAAAAACAACTTAGTACTATAAAATCTTAAAATTTCAAAACTAATTGAAAATGAATTTCTTCTATTTAGTTAATTTATAACTTTACTCCGTTATTTACTAATAAATACTACCATATAAACAACTATGTAATTTAATTCACATAGTTTTTTCAAACAAATGTGAAAACACATAACTAAGACACTATAACTAATTAAAAGAAATAAACAATTACCAAATTTTAATTAAAAAAAAAATCGGCTATTTAATAAACTATTAGAAAATTTATTTCTTGTTTTTGTTTGTTAATTTTGTTGTTTGGTTCATAATATTCGATTCAATGCAAGTATTATTAAAAATTAAATATATATTTTATAATATCATAGTCCAGGAAGTGTTAATCGAAACTGTTTCTACGTTAAATTGTCAATAATGTACCATTTTTAGACGATTATTTTTATTTCTTAATCGTTTCTAATAAAAATTAATCATAATTAAAAAAAAAATTTGCTAAAATTTTAAAGCTTACGATTTAGTTGAAAATATGCATTTTCTACATAACTGCTATAATATTTATAGTTTCAATAATTTTTTTGTTGAAGAGTTATCAATCTCCCTTTTAATTTCAATTTTATTGGAATTTCTATCGATAACTTTGACTTGAAATTTAAAATATTATCGTTGGTGATCTTAACTGCTTCGTAAGTACTTACATTCAAATTTTTACTTTCTTTAAATTATGACGGATAATTTTTGCATTTTTAAGTTTGCTACTATCATTGTTTATGGTATTCTATTGTTTGATAACATATATAACAATTATTAGTCTTATTTTGACTCTTTATGAGCTATGATATTGTGTCACATCTACTGTCTTTGGGTTGGTTTATTAGTTATTCAATGTCGAAATAACAAAAGCACATGGTACGATTTTTATTTTATAAAATTACTAGAATAAAATATAAAATTGTTATTAAATTAAAACTATAATTACTTAATTATTAATATTATAGCTCTCTAAATATTTTCATATGATAAATGTCGAGTATAGTGAGATCTCGGCATAGTTGGGTATAGAGGATACCTGACTGGAATTAAAATCACTGTCATAAAAAATGACATATGACAATGTTTTTTTGTTATTTTGTAGTATGTAATAAAAGTTCTATTTTTATATATATTTAATGGATGCAGTACATCTGTTTTTTTCAAAAGTTAAGTTAAAAGTTAATTTTTCGTGCAAAAGTTACTATTTGGATTCTTCTCTTGCGGTAAAAGATCAAATTGATTGAAGAATATGCTATTATAATTTAAAAATCAATATTTAAATTAAAAATTAAATCATTATTATTAAGTAAAATATGTTCGAAAGACTGAAAAATGAAGGGAATCGACATAGACGTGTTAATGCATTCTTGAAATATTGTATTATTTGGAATATTTACAGATATTTCGTTGGGGAGTTCATCTTAACGATAGTCACGGGTCAGAGGTTGTAATTATACTGTCAACTTAGCTTGTTTACTGTTTGTTTTAATATCGATAATCGTTTGATAACCGATAACATCAACGTGATTGTTTATTGTTGTTGTTATTGATACCAAATGTATCCTTGATATTGAAGTTGTTTTTGTCGGTATTTAGTTTTTGTTGTTGTTTTCAGCATTCTTAACAATTTACTCTTGCATCGATAAATTTCAGATATGTCAAATATAGTTTTTTTACATGTTTTTTTTTCATTTTGTCTTTTTTTTCTTTGTATACAGAGAGGAACAGATCTAACTAACAATTTATTTGGGTTTCTTTTAGTTCCATGTTTTCCGACAAAAACAACTTTAATATGAGAGTTGTTATCAATAACAACACGCCAAACAATCATATTGATGTTATCGGTTATCAAATAATTAGCAATATAAAATCCAACAGAAAACGAACTAAGCCAACAGTACATTTACAACATCTGACCCGTAATTATCGCTCCAATGATGAACTCCCCACCGAGTTCGAAAATATATCAGTAAATAATCCAAATAAATCCACATAGTCAATTTGATTAATGAAAAGAGCAGATCAAATTTTCAATTGGAGCAAATCGCCCAATTTAATTTTTGACTCGAGGTATTTTTTTTTTGACACATTTTTTTTATTGTTATTTCATTTAAATATATGATATAAAATTGAAAACAATTTTTTTTTGTCAACATTTTTGGGGTATAAAGTACGCAGAGGAAAATCGTTATGGACATTTTCAAAAAATCAAATTTTTTTCTAAATTAACTTTAAAAAAATATACGAATAATCAAAAAAAGTTTTTTTTTCTCTACACGCGATTAGTCAGCTCCTACTAGACCGATACGGGACTCAACGATACGTCAAAAGATCACAAAATGTGTATAGTTGTAGGTATCAGCGCCATAATTTTAAAGTAATTTTAATAAATAATAATATAAACATTTATATAATGGATACAAAATTAGATGAATAATTTTTTTCGTATATATCAAACACACATGAAAGTGTTTTACGACAATGATTTTAATCACTGTCAGATACCAATTAAAAATTTCCCCAACTCCAATTTGTTGGGTTTCTACTGCACTATACTTTTTAGTATTTATACAGGTTTTGGATGATAATAAAGTTTAAAAATGTTGATACCCGTTAAACATATAAAATCGTTGTTTTTATCATTTTCATTGTATTCAAATAACCTAACTCCCCTTAAAAATATTTCTCCCGTCCCAAATTTTGCAAGAAATATTCACTGACAATATTCCAATTAGAATATTTTGTTACATGATCTATCGAGTAAGAAAATTAACTAAATTGTATTAAAAAAATAAAAATATACGGTGTTGGTTTTTATGTCGCGAAATGTATGTAAACTTAATTTATTAATAAGATCATATTTTAAATACAAGTTAATTTTGTATAATTATAGTATATAAAATTTTGTTTTGTAACCAACATACAATATTCATTGTGACTTCATTATGAATTGACTAGCTATTAAAATAAAATAATAGTAACTTTGATTTAAGCTTGGAACATTTTCATAGGTTTTATTCATTAATTTGTCTACATTGAAAGCCTTTGGTATTTAGATTATATCTGTAAATGTTTACAGTTTTACTCGTTTTATTATTATTATATGTTTACTAAATGGTAATTACTTTAGTTAATTATTTCTAAGTACGCATTTACAAAGGAAACATTGAATGTAGATGTTTTTTTATAAATATCTAAACCTTGAAAATAGTAAGGTCTTATAGCAACATTTAGTAAATATGCATTACGCACCGAAAATATTTAATAAAAATGTTGTATACATTAATCTGTTCTCGAAGATTGAAAAAAAAAATCACGACTGTTTAATTAATCTGAATAAATTATTTTCTTTTGTTTTGCTGTGCGCTTATCGAATATTAAATTGGCAATGTAATAATTATTACGCTGAAATATACAAACAAGTGCCGGAGTGCCAAATTGTATTAATATTGTTGACAATTGAAATTTTTTTATAAATATTCAGTACCCGTTGTCATCACTTCTCGTCTGTATTGCTACACTACATAATGGCCCTGTGTTCAATCATTGGATTTATTTTTAAGAATTTATGGAAGTATTGATGTGCAGTTATTTGATTTTTACCAGTGGGGCAACACGCCACGGAGATGAGTATTGTAGTCGTTGAAAATATTTGCCGGCGGCCAGTGCGCGTTCAGATGTCGTGGGCCTCTACTTAGTATACACGATTTAGTGTTGATAACATTGCCGACCAGTGATCATGCAACTAACTGATTCGCTGACCGCAGTTACCCTGCTCGCCGTTGGTTGTGCGATATTGTCGCTGACTTTACTGGTAATTTGCTTGTTCGATGTCGCGTATTTTATTCGTGCCATGGTAAGTTACGTGTTGGGCTGCTGGCTGAAAAAGAGACTGCGGGTAACCGACACGGCCGTGTACTCGTCTATGTGCAGTACAACCGACGTGGATATTTATCTCAACCACATGAACAACGCCAGGTACTTGCGCGAAGTTGACTTTGCCCGGATCGAGTTCTGTCTGCGTACGGGTATCTGGCAAGAGGTAAGATGCCGCGGCGGTTACATGTTCACCATCGCCAATAACATTCGGTACCGTAAATTTGTGGGAATATGTAATTCGTATGTAATCCGTACGCGAATAGTCTATTGGGACGACGTGTCTATTTTTTTCGAGCACCGATTTGTCAGCAAGTCGGACGGATTTGTTCGAGCCATTATGCATAACCGACAGCGGCTGACAGAGTGCAACGTCGATGAAGTGTTGCGGTCTGTCGCCGGCAAGAAGAAGCCGGCACTGGCACTTCGAAAACCCGACTGTCCCATGGACATACATCACTGGATACAGTCCTGTCTAATTTCCAGTGCCGACTTAAAAGCCGAGTCTCAGATGGCTTAAGATGAATTCTCGGATTTATCGTTATGGAACGCCTGAGACGATCAATGATAAAGACAGTCTCGTTTCGGTCGGAGACAGTGTGAAAAACTGCCACGGAGTTTGTCGTTGTACTTTATTTGTCTAAGAGATAATTGTTGGTTTGAAGCAAACGGCCATCGTACCAACAAAGTACCATTTCTAAAAAACACGTATTACTTATGTAGTTATAAAACTCAAGAATAGCACTCGTTTATGAACTATGAGGTCACAGTCACTTACCGATATATTTTTCATTAAAAATGTGCTATAAATAATTGTGTTGCATACGAAAACAATATGTTTTGATTTGTTATTTAAATTTTTTATGTAGAGAAAAATATTTATTTTCGAATTATAATTTTTAATTTCAATTTCAAAATAAACTAGTGTTTAATAATTTTTTTATTATAACACATATTCAATGTTTGCTACTTGGATTTAAGTAGAAAAAACAAAACTTGTTCTACTAAATTATCGCATGATGCGATTTTATGATTGCAATACGAGCAGCTAGTACACAGTACAAAGTTTTCAAGGACGGCTGACATTGTCCGGCTGTTTCCTTTTGAAACCAGTTTTTTATGGTGTATTTTTATACGCCTATTTATATTTTATATACGTCACTTTTGATTTTTATTCTTGAAAAACGACATTTTTAAGCATCATGTAAAAAGTTTTTGTATTCATTCCTTGTTAGGCGGCAGTACCGGAATTCCTAAGGAATCTTATTTCAATTTAATACTAACTGTATATATTTTTGTTGTATCATAAAGTATTAATAGATGTTTAAATTTTTATAGACAAATAAAAAAATATAATATTAAATTAGTAAGTTATTAGAAAAATAACATTTTAGTACATGTTTTATACAGCGATATTTTTAAAACTAAAATGTTGAGATTACGGAATCAAAATTTACTATTTAAATAGTTTTAACAAAATTGTATCGTCTAATCGAATACGATAGAGACAATCTAAAGTATTTATTTCGAATTATCACAACTGTTTTTTAGTTTAATAAATTATGTAAAGATTACATAATAAACATCATGCTTGATTAAAATTTTTTTCGAATTAATGTTTATGAGATTAGTTATTCTTTAATCCATCAGATATTCAGTACAATTTGATAAATTATATCGCCGGCTCTGCACCAAAGATCTTATATTTATTAATTTTATTAATCGATAGTATACATAACAATTGCATAACTATGCCTCGAGTGGTATTATTAGAAATGTCAAATAAAAGACAGATTATATTTGTTGAAATAAAGTGTCATATATTAAAAAAAAAAAAATCTGGCTAGTTATAGTAATTTGTTGACACATTGTATAAAGTTTTACAACATTTTTATACAGTACTCGATCAAATTTTATTACATTGAAATCTCCATTTTACTGAAACTTACCGTGTTATATAGTATAGAAGTATAAAGTACTAAAATCTTATACTTCTATACAATTATTATTTTGTCAATGTTCAAGTTTTTGAATAATCCAAACAATAACTATTCTATACCAACCTTTGATACTACATCTTAATATTTATTTATTTCGATAATTATATTGTTTTTTAATGAATATGACCTTAATAATCTAAGTAAAAGAATATTTGAAAGTTAAAAATTAATGTATTTTCTTAACTACTCTTTATGATATTACTTTAACTTTGTAAATGACTTGCAAAAAGTTCTTATTTTATATTTGAATGAAGCTATTAATTAACTTATTACCATAGCTATTGAATAACATTATATAAAAGCATAATTATATTTAATTGTGCGTAAATGGTGTGCGAGATCGTGTCAAGTGGAAGCTTAGGAAAAGGGTGACCGACCTCAAATATTTTGGTAGTAGTTTGGGATAATGAGGAGGAAAAAGAAGATCAAAGCCTAATTATATTTTTTAAATAATACATTTCTATACAAATTACATAAACGTTTGCATTGATAAAACGCGCAGTATTCATTAGTATAAAATTTTATTTACGTGGTTGAAGTAAACTAACCAAAAATATTAACTATCTAGATAGAAAAAAATGTTTATTTTAAATAATATTTTTTTTCATAAATTTCAATTTAACATATAAATAAAAGCTTAACAATTTCACTTAATACAATTATGTCTTTGAAGTTATTGCAGACGATATATGTGGACATTATTGATACTTATTGATGATTTTTTTTATTTATGAGTATACAACTTTTTGACACTCATATGTTAAAATTCTATGTACTACTTAAACGTAAAATTAACTTGAATATAAAAATATTGAACTGGCGTATTGGAATTTCGGTATAATTTTTTTCAAGTCATTACCTCAAAAAATTTCCAAGTCTTCGAATAAAAAAAGCCACATTTGAATCTAAAAAGATTACAATAATCAGATTTTTTGTAAAGTTCTCTATCTACTTTATTGGGGCAAATTTTATTAAAATGAATTTTAATATTTAATTATTTCTTGAGCATTTAGATTTAAAGTTAAATTTTATATAAAACATATTAGTGGTATAATCAACGTGTGTTAGGAGATTGAAATACTCATTTGTTCAAAATAATAATGATTCTTGTAATTCAGCAGTTTATGGTTTTTTTTTTGGCATTGAGTTTTTTTGTTAAACATTTTGGTTACATCATGGCGAAGGATGAATTTTCGCTAAATATAAACATTTACAATATAATTAACCATAACTTATACATTATAATTCTTAATTCGATAAAAAAAAATGCAACTTTTATTTTTAATATTTTTACTCTCTTAACATATATTACGTAATATGTTTAATTATTGTACAAGTATTTACTATAAATCATTAATATTAATTGATTTTAAATAAATACAGAAATACTAATTAAAGTGATAAAATAATTTATAGTTTATATTAAAATATGTAATTATAATTTTAAACTATGTAAACCTGATATTCAATTTACATTATAACAATAAATTAATTTGTTACTAAAAGAATTAAATGAAATACATGACAGTCAAGCATTTCTAACATTTGTAAAATGTAATTGTTTCGTTAAAATTTATTAATTACTTTAAAGATAGTGAAAAATATATTTTTCTATCAATGAATATTTTTATATCTGAATAAATACTGAGGCATAAATTTTGTAATTTTGTTTATTATTCTTAGCTCAAATACGAGTACGTGTCCTGTNATATATTACGTAATATGTTTAATTATTGTACAAGTATTTATTATAAATCATTAATATTAATTGATTTTAAATAAATACAGAAATACTAATTAAAGTGATAAAATAATTCATAGTTTATATTAAAATATGTAATTATAATTTTAAACTATGTAAACCTGATATTCAATTTACATTATAACAATAAATTAATTTGTTACTAAAAGAATTAAATGAAATACATGACAGTCAAGCATTTCTAACATTTGTAAAATGTAATTGTTTCGTTAAAATTTATTAATTACTTTAAAGATAGTGAAAAATATATTTTTCTATCAATGAATATTTTTATATCTGAATAAATACTGAGGCATAAATTTTGTAATTTTGTTTATTATTCTTAGCTCAAATACGAGTACGTGTCCTGTATTGTTTTTAATTTTCCTTGGCGCTGTCTAGCATAAGTATTAATAACAATAATTTCTTAACGTTGAGATCAAAATATTTGTTTTGAAAAAAAAAATTGTTATTGTTTTATCTATTCTCTTTAGACGTATATTTTACTGTTAATTTATTATTCAATAATATACATATACAGAGTGATGGGTTTATCATAAATCATTCGATTACTTGCTAAGTATAAAGAAATACAATATTGGCAAAATAATTTTTAATTTCTTTCAGTGACATAAAATTCTTGATTTATCAACTAATAATTACTTTTAAAGATCATCACCTGTAACAGATAAGGATGTTAACTTGATTTTTTAATGGTTATATAAATATTTTACTAGCTTGTAAAACAGAAAATAATTTAATTAAGAAAATGACTGGTCGATAATAACTTTCGGACCAGTACTTTGGATATTATCCTCATTTTTTTACCTTGGCGGCAGGTTTACATTCGAGAAATTACTAGTGATAAAAATAGCAGCACTCCTCATCACTAGCCATTACTTTAAATTGTTAATCATTTTTGAAATACTCATCCAAAAACTGTTAACGATCAGTCATTAACTATATTATTTTCTCTTTTATAAACTAGTTAAACATAAATGTTGACACCCCTATAAGTTATAAGGGATGATTCTAACAATTAATTATTAGTTGATAAACAAAAAATATGGATAATTAAAAGAAATAAAAAATTATTTTTCCAATATTGTTTTTATTTTGCGTATAATCGTGTTTTATGATAATCCAAACTTTCCGAATACATTATTTTAATTCATCTTGGTATATAAATGTTATATTTCATAATTTATAATTATTTTACATTGATAAATCGTGGTGGTGTTGTAAAATGAAAACAAAAACACATCTTGTTTATAAACCTATTAAAATCCTTTTAAATTTATTATTTAATTGATATTTATTATAAAAAATATCAATAATGATTAAGACTGCGGTCGATAAAAATCATTGTCTTTTACTATTATTGAATAATATTATAAACGTCTTGTATAAAATAAGTTTGATTATGACTATTCTTAACATCAAAATTAAAAAACTATCACCTATCATCTACTTCGCAGTGCCGAATTTTACATTAAATACAATAAGTGAAAAATAATTTTTAATATTAAGTACATTTTTGGATCATTGATTGGATTGCCTAGACAAACAATATCCCTACAAATTGCCATAACTTTTTTAGTATTTAGTATTTAGTTATTAAGTTAATAAACCTAAGTTAGTAATAATCGTATAAAAAAAAATGTATGCTTTCCACGCGGAGACAATTACACTTCGGTAAGTCTGTAACTTATTCCATTTCAAAATGTTAACATACGTTAAGTATTTTTAACTATTACTTTTACCAGTACTTCATCTAATCTTTAATTTGTTTAATACACTACACAGAAAACTATACAATTTTATCATCTTAGTTTACACATTATAATTATTTTATACTCGATTGTCATTTATACTATATATAATATTGTTAAATAAATATTCAAGCTGTATTTAAAATATATGATTCTTTGTGTTTAAAGAAATCTTAGCATTTTTTTTAGTACAATAGTGTAGGATTCGGCCTTACCTCGTCTTTAAGAACGTTTATACACTAATAATTAGCAGGCAAAATGGGTTTGATGTTTTATGAGATAGTTTTGCGATTCAACGGTCGAAAATAATACTAGAAACAAACTATTTAATTTGTAACATTGTAATATCTTATATTATTATGCTATAAATTTTAGGTGTATATTTTAATTTTTAACTAACATAATTATCTATTATTCATAGAATTTTTTATTATTCATTTTTACACTATTCTGAAAAACTAAGCAATTTAATGTTAAGACTAATAATATCAAGCAAAATTAATGGCTTTAACCATTAGAGGTGTCAACAATTTAACATTTATGTGAAGCTGAGAATGTATTAATTTTACTATGATGTGTTTATAATTATATACAGTGTGATTTTTTTTATCATAAAATACTGAATTTCTTACAGAATAAAAATAATTAAATTTTTTTTTTTGTTATCCTTAGTTACACATTATTCTTGAATTTTTAACTATATAATAATTTTTAAGTTTATCCCTTATGCCTTGTAAGGATGTCAACTTGTTTTTTCAAATACAAATATGAGGGGATTTAAAGTAACACCATTTAATCCTTCTTTACCAAAAATAATATTTAATTAAATATTATTTTTTTATAATTATTTTAATACATACCGATAAAAGAGTATACCAAAAATATTTATAATCAACACTTTAGTGGTAATTGTAAATATTTTCGGGGGATTTTCGCAGATTTTAATGGTAATCTAAAAGTATATTAAGAAAAGGAGATTAATAAATGTTTGGAAATAAATTTTGTACTAACTTTAATTACTCAGATAAGTATTTATTCATGTAATTGTACTTATAATTCATAAAACTTGTAATCAAGATATAATTAAAAAATAGGAGTTGATGTTTCTTTTGAAATAATCCAACAATACCTCATAAAAATTAAAAACTATCTAAAGATTTGCAACGAAACGTTTTTTATTATAGTAATTTTTATTACTGTCAGATATCATTTGTACTTGACATAACTATGTCGCGATCTCACTGTACTCGGTTTTATTAGAGGGTAATATCATATTAAACAAGCTTTTTAAATAGAAAATGATCTAATTGCAAAAATGACAGGTCGATAACAACTTTTGCACAAGTTGTAAGAAGTACATAATCAATGGATGAGTACTTGAAAAGTTATTAACATTTGTCTATGTGGGAAGAAAGGAGGACTTTGGCTGAGAAATGTCTAATTAAATAAATACTTATACCCATGCCTCTCCCCAAGTATATATTTTTAAATTTTCAGTATAATTTAATAATTAAGTATAAAAATAGTTAAAAAAAAAATACTTAAAAATAATTATATTTGTCAAACATCATGGACCACCTTGTGTAATAGTTGTACACAATGTTGCAGAATTTTGTAGAATGAACTAGGGCTGGCGGTATATCCTAAAATTATCTGAATTTAATAGTAGTTATTGATAATCATAAACATGATAAATAACAAAGAAATCATAATTATTGATAATATAAGAAAAATAAGTATATACTGCAAGTACTGAAATTTTCAGTATATCAAATAAAACCAGTATTCAAGTTAGTACAGAAAACCGGTTTATAGATTGAAAATACCGCGAGTCTCTGACAAACTAAATTCGATTAAAGTTGAAAAATAATGTGAATATTTTTGCAATAGTATATTATATGTAGCAAAAAATATACTAAATACTACTATGATATAAGTAGACAAATCAGGAGATCTATATGACCAATACGATCCAAAACATAGAACTAAAAGTAGCCAAAAAAATCTCATTATTCTTTTTATTTTTTGACTGATTAAATGGATAATATAAAACGAATCACTCAGTGTAATCATGAACAATCAATTTTATGGTCTTAAATAAAGAGACCCTTAAATTTTAACATTTTCTTAAGATTATTAAGTGATATTTTAACTAAAAGTTCAAAATAATATAGTGAAAATTAAATAAAACTAATTCTTATAGCTGAATAAATAAACTATCTTCAATTCTATTTCTATAATGAATTATTAAATATTTGTACTACATATTTATTTCAACTATATTTTTAAAATAAAATTAAAACGATCATTTAATAATGTTTGTTTAAAACATTGAAAATTAGTACATATCCTTGTAAGTTTAAATTATTTAAATTATTTTTTTTGCATTTAGAAACATTTTTTACCTGTGACGTATATTTACAACGGCATCTAGTGATTCAAGTTGTAAATATCTATACATTTTTTAAATTTGATTTTATTGAAAATATCTGGATGTAATTAATAGTGACTAATATGAATATTAATGTCCAATAATAGTATCATCCTTTAAATATTTTCCATAAATTTTTTTCAATAATACATATTTTAATAATACATAATAATAATAATAATAAACATAATAATAATATAACAATAATAATAATAATATAATAATAATAATATAATAATAATAATAATAAACATAATAATAATAATAATACATAATAATACATACTTTTGTTTATTTCCTTCAAATTAATATTCTACCATTTATAAATATTGAATGCAAATTCATTGCAGTACGGGATGCTGGAGTACCCTCAAAAGTCGTATTCTAATTGCGCCAATGCTTGACATTCCGTAAAATTATTCTGAAAAGTTATTTGAACTAGAAATTATAACAACCAAAAAGGCATATTTACTAAATAATCAATAGAAATACACAGAATGATTGATTAATTATGACTTACGCAATATCTTTGATAATTATCAATCTTTAAAAATATAAAATGTAATATTATTATTATTTTTTTTAAAATTTAATACCTTTAGTAATTAGTATCCTGTGTCTTTTAATTAAAATAAAATATATAAGTTTTTATCTCACCTCAATCATTTTAAAACAATATCAACATACATTTTTTATCGGAAAACTGAAGTTTTAATATGAAGCTGAACATATTTAACATTTTCTGGTTCACAATACACTTAGATTAAATTAAATTAATAACAAAGTTTTATATTAATTTAGCATTACCAGTAATAATGAAATTATGTATGCAATTCGTTTACTATCTTGAAGTTTTTGCTTTGAATCACTGCATCTCAATTGATTAATACAACTATAAGTATTTAATGACCCAGAATACCTGAGCTTCGAAGATACTTCTGGTCGCTGCACACGCCCGTTCTATTTTAATGCATAGTAATTTTAAATGCGCATAATATTTGTGGTTGATAAACGAATAAAATAATCTGTGTAACGCTCCTTCATTTAATGCTGTTGACAAAGAGAACGTTATGTATATAGACTCCACTATAATTCAAGATACTTAATAAAGTTGTCTCTTAAATATAGAAGATATTTTCCTTCAATCCACGAGGTATAATAATAGGTATATTTTACCTATTATGTTTGTTTATATTTGTAATTAGTGTGTTTTATACTATTGCACTTAAAAGAAGCATTATGTTCTTTTGAATATGTCCCGGTGGTGTTGACAACACTACTGCAAAATAATATAAATCGTTTTACCGTAACGAAAGAACTGATTGACGAAAATTCATGCCAAGGCGCTCAGATTGTTATTAAACAACGCAGTGTAGTTAAACAATGACGAAGCTATTAATCAACTAACCAAAAACGGAAATGATGTGAACGGGTAGTGTACAATGCACATTAATTACACCACGTTCAAGTTAAACCCACCCTTTTATGAAAAAATAATACATTTCTGACAAATAAAAATAATTTTAACGAATAGTGTAAGAAGATTTAAGGTCATGTAATTTAGCAAATATATTCATTTTTAAAATCGACTCACGTTTTAAAATGTTGACTTATAAGTAGTTGAAACTTCATAAATAAGTATTGCCATCAATCATATGCATTTATCAAAAAGTACAATAGTCGTTAAGGAAAATAATTTAATTTGCTACTCAGCTACTTCTAAGAAGTCCTCAGGGAATATATTCAAGAATCAGGAAGATAAAATGAAAAAAGTATTTTGATAAAAATCTTGTCTTACTAAGTAAAAAAATATTTAATTACCAAATGTATAAAAGTTTAGTTCTACCTTGAATCAATGTCATTAAGTTGAGACTTTTTTAAAATTATTATTGATTGATATCAGACAGTGATTAGAATAAATGTCGCAAAGCGCTTAAATACTCATTATGTGTATCAAATTAAAACAAAAATTCGTTATATTTACTAAAAATTACATCGTTTCACTAACAGAGGACAAAACTCCGAAACGTTTTCTTTCATTTTAAATCATATATCGCAAGCTTTAATTTGAATTCATTTAAATTGATATAAATATTTTATTATTATGCCAAAAAATTATAAAATTGGACATTCTTATCAAAGTAGTATGATTTTTGGATTTAATGGCCAATAATTCTTAAGAAATAGAAATGTCGATAATTTTTCTTTTTTCATATAAAATACATTATATTAGCTTAAATTTAATGTAAGGCTATCAAAATCAGGTTTTTTGGAAAATTATAAAAATTGAAAAAAAAAAAAATTGTTTCCGACGACAAACTTTTGATTGATAATTAGTAAATAATATCTTATTGAATAAACTGCTCATAATTCTATTGAAAATATTTCAGAAATTGACTTTTTCATGGCAAAGTAAACATCTGAAGTATTTTCCAAAAAATTTTTCAATAATCTATTCAACATTATTTTGAATATATCAACATTGATTGATATATGAAAATTTTATTTAAAATTAAAACTATATTAAAAATATTATTAATTTAAAACTGAAAAATATAAAAAATATTTTACTCAAAAAGTCACAAAAAATATTTAAAAAACGCTAAACATGCGATTTTTTTGGTAATTTTAAATAATATTAGCTAAAAGTGATCAATTTTTATTATATAACAATTGTTTTTTTTCTCGGGACATTTCCATTTATTACGGAAATCGACGGTAATTGTTCAAAATTATGGTACTGATCGGTTTAGTAGGAGCAGAGTAATCGTGTTAAATAACACAAAAATAATATAAAATAAAAATATGACAGTGTAAAACCAATAGCTTCTCAGATACATATCGAATCTAAAATATAATGTGCACTCTAAATAATTCACTATAGAAATAGAACTGTATACTGTTTATTATTTATTCAGTTGGTATTAGTTAACTAGATTTTCGTTTGAACTTAATTTTGCCATAATATTATTTTGAATTAAGAGCTAAATTTTAACTTATTTATCTCAAAAAATTGTAGTACTTTAAAAAATTAGCTCTTGATAGAAGACCCTAAAAATTTGCTTCTAACGATTATAGAGTATTATTAGTTTGTATAGTATCATTTACATAATAAAAGTAGTAATAGTTATTATTTATAATAACAATAATAATTTAAAATTTCTTCATTCATAAGATCTTCAAGGGGAAACCATTACTACATAAGATGTTTGTCTATAACAAAGACCTAGTGGACCAGTTGTCACCAACTCCGTTGAGTATAGTATGTCGTGTGACAGCTGATATTTAGCGTCTTTGCTTAACTACTCCCCTCGCCCACTCAGCACTGCAACCCGACATCTTACGATGTCCGCCGTATACAGTTTACCGTCGTACGTCATATTTTTTTAGCAAGCGTTTTCGCTTGGTTGGCCAGCCAAGATTGGCCAATCTTTCGTCCATTGTATGCCATAATTTTTATTATTCATTTTGTTGCACCTTTATGCTCAACTTTACCGTCACTGATGGACTTACCGCTGGTTGTGTTTATACACGACCCTTGCCGTTCACCAATGTCGTATATTACCTAAACCTCGTCATTGGTCACGCCATCACTCACATTCCCATACATACCACTACTCATCACCATCTCTCTATCTTCGATTAAGTCATGAAGTTTTGATATCGGTAATTTGTTCATTTTATTTTTAACTATTTTGTTTTGCCGGCTATTAGTATTTAAGGACCCCCCGCTACCCCTTAAATATAAAGTACTCATTTCAGAGCTCTAATATATTTGTTTTATTTATGTTATATAATTATTGTCTATGTGTTACTTATTGGATGAAAGGTTAGCCGACATCAACCCAGGTGACCTCCTCGCCTGCTCTTTTAGCCATCGTAAATAGTCTTAAGGCAAGTCGGCAATCTAATACGGTAAAAAATTAGCCGTCTATCTACCTCGTACGCAATAGGAGATAAAGCTAAATTTAACTTTATCTCGAGGTAAACAACATCTAGTAAAGTGTTATTTACTTTAGTCGTATGTTTATTTTAAAATGCTCTTTATTCTAGTAACTTATTCGGATAATTGATAAGGCAGGGTAGAGCAAGTTGACACCTTTAAGCTTTAATTAAATCTCTTAATGAAAGTATTCACCATAAAAGTTTTAAATTTGTTAGAAATAGTTCTTGATGTATTTAGATCAATTGAAAAAATGCTCATTAATTAATATTAATTATTTTAAAAATTATTAATTAATTAGAAGAATACTAGTCGAATATGTCATGTTTTTGACATTCATTTTATATTGAATATTATTGTTTAATTTACATTTTTTTCGTTAAGATAGCTTATTTTGGAGCTAGAGACGTTTTTGTAAAATATCTCTATAAGCTGATATATTTTGATTACACTAGTCATTGGCATAGTTAGAGTGTTATGTTCTTCCATATACACGGCGTTTATACAGAACAGTTACGAAAATATGAAAAATCCAATAATTTTTGATCCAAATATCAATTAGTTGAAATAATATTTAAATAATTATTGCCTTTTTAGACTACATTCAAAGCATCTTTTTTCTTATTAGTAAGGTCCAGAATTTAGTTTTGTTGTTAAATTAAAATATATTTTTTAATTTTATATGCTTATTTATGCAATATACTTTGAATGGAGTCTAAGAAGACAATAATAATTAAAAAAATATTCATCGAAATGATAATTGGATTAAAATTATAAATACTACTATTTTATACTTCTATTGTATTTTATACGTGTTTGATTAAATGATACTGGTGCATCAGTTACTATTTCCAATACCTTGCCACCATGGTGCCAAGGGAAATAGTTTTATTGGTATAATTTACTTGGAGTTAAATGCCAGTAAGGATAGAAAAAAGAAAGGTTTTGGAATATTTAATTTAATTTAAAATGATTTTTATTTGTTTTGACAAAGAAATAAAATATTAGAAATCTATCTTGAGTCTTTTATTGATGTTTTAAGAACCGAATATTTCAAAACGAACATTAGAAATTTATGTGAATATTCGTTATGACTGAGTGGTATTGCATTGAAATTAGATGTGTATTGTCACATATCTAAAATCTGGTCACGAACGATTCTGTTTGCTAAGCAAATAATCAGTTAATTAATTTGAAACTCAGACAGACTATTTCTTTAGAAGTACTAATTGTTAAGAATTTCCATTTTAAGTGGTTGTTATTGCTCTTAACACATCACAAAAGCGAAATAAAAAGAAAAAATTAACAATTATACTATAATGACATCGTGTTATAAATAATGTCTTATATATTTTTCTGATAAATTCATAGCAATAAAAATCTTTTGAAACTGCTTTCAAACAAATTGGTCATTTGGGATCGTGCCACGTCAAAATTTTTCCGTTTTATTTACAACGGTAATTTTTGTTCACATAAAAATATAAAGCTCTAATGTTATACTGCACCTAAGAGACTAATTTCAAGGTAACTTTTATTTATTCACTTATAAAAATAAGTGTACTGTTTGATTCTTTGTAAAACTAATGTAAAATAAAAATGGTAAAAGATAAATGATAAAATTGTGTTTTTCCCCGATAACTTAAAATAAACTTCTTTAATTATTTCAGGGGTGTTTTTAGAATTCTTTATAAGGGTTAGAAATAGTATTTTTCTACAAATTTGGTTCATATTGATTTGAGTACACGAAAAAAATGTATATTTTAAGTCCATCTTATATGAGAGTTTTTTTGTTATGAATAAAAAGTTTTTCCTCCCAAGAAACTATTTTCCTTCTTAATTATTATTAATATTGTACATTAAAATTCGTTAAGTGATTTTATAGTTAAATAGTTATTCAAAAATATTTGTGTATACAACGTTATCTAGTGGTTTAATTTTATGAACAAGTTAGTAAGACAACCACATTTCAATTAGTTAATGCACTAACAAAGTAATTCAACGTTCGTTAATATTAAATGTAGTTTTTAAATTGGTTTATTTCTTAAAAGAGAAAGTTTTAAATTAATTTATGCAGAGTGACTTTTTTATAATAACCCACTTAATTACTTACAGAATAAAAATAATTATAACGTTTTTTTTTATTACCTTTACTTACATATTATTCTTGAATTATTAGCTACGTTATACTTTTTAAGTTCATCCCTTATGTCTTGTAAATGTATCAACTTTATTTTTTCAAATAGGAACAAATATTTTGAATTTAATAAAATGTTTGAAAGAAGGGCAGCTTGTACACTCATTAACGTGGTTGAACAAAAAGTAATTATATCACCCATTTT